TTGTTGGAGAAAGCAACCCAAAAATTTGAGACCAGAAACGGTTCGCAGTAACCATGGGGGTGTTCTTGGCGCAGAAGTTAGCAGGAAGCGCAGCGCGGTAGCGAGTGTCACTAGTGCGGAGGTGCGTAATGAGGTCAGCGACTGTGAGAAAGGCAATAAGGTCAGGGAAGAGGTACGGAAGCATGAGACGGCTCAGTGCAGCAGTGGTAGGGGAGGAGTAGCGTGCAACTACAGCGTCGTACAAGGTCTGAGCACTCTTGTACTGACTAAAGTGCGCGCGCTTGGAGGTAGGCAGGTGGCGACGCACAGCAAGACGTGCAGCAGCATTGCGCGTGGCCCACTGGGAGCGAACAATGGCGTCAGCGTCAGCAGCAGGGGTAGGGGAGGCGCCAGAGGTGAGGTCAAAGAGGGAGAGACCGTCTGCCCTATCGCACTGTAGGAAAAGCTGCAGGTCATCTACCCAGACCTCAAAGTCAATGGCCCGACCCTCAGCGTCAAAAGCGAGAACACTGGGGGCAGCCATGACAGCAGTAGACTAGCAGCACTAACTGTAGGACAAAGGCAGTGTAGTGACAGAAGCGCTGCTCTCACCAGACAGGGCGGTTCGGGCAGCTCAACAGCACAGCAGCTCGGCAACACGGCGGCTCGGGCGACTCGGACGGCTCAGTAGCAACTGCGGCTCTGCGGCACCAGCGGCGCGGCTCTTCAGCGGCTCAGGCGGCTCGAGCGGCTCGGGCGGCTCGGGCGGCTCGGCTGCTCGGCGGCTCGGAGGCTCAGCTGCTCGGCGGCTCGGCGGTGAAGGGGCCGGGATGGCGACGGGGCCGCAAGAGGGCGGCGACGGGCCGCAAGAAGGTGGCGAGGGGGCCGCGACAGGGCGGCGACGAGGCCGCAAGAGGGCGGCGACGGGGCCGTGAGAGGGCGGCAACGAGGCCGCAAGAGGGCGGCAACGGGGCGCGCGAGAGGGCGGCGACGACGCCGCAAGAGGGCGGCACTGGGGCCGCTAGAGAACGGCGATGCGGCCGCGAGAGGGCGGCGACGAGGCCGCGAGGAGCGGCTGCAGGGCCGCGACGGGCGGCGACGTGGCCGCTAAGGGGCGGCGGCGGGGCCGCGAACGGCGGCGACGGGGCCACGAGAGGGAGGCGACGGGGCCGCGAGAGGGCGGCGCCGGGGCCGTGGAGGTGGGGCCACAAGGGGCCGCTGAGGGCGGCGCGATGGGTCTTTCAGGGCAGCGCGACGGGCCGCTAGGGGGCGGCGACGGGGTCGCGAGGTGCCGTGAGAGAGGGGGGGGGGGGGGGGGGGCGCTAAGGGCGGCGCAACAGTTTGCCAAGGGGAGGGCGGCACACAGGGCACGCCTCGGTCAGGGGCAACTCGATCTCAGGGCAGGAAAAAAAAAAATCGATTTTCAGTGGTGGGCCCTTGGAAGTTCCCACTAGGGAACCTGCTCTATACCATGTGAGAATTGAGGAATGAATGAACAAGCAAGCAAGTGGGTACAAGTAGGAAAACCTAAAAGTGTTGTACCCACTTGCTTGCTTGTTCATTCATTCCTCAATTCTCACATGGTATAGAGCAGGTTCCCTAGTGGGAACTTCCAAGGGCCCACCACTGAAAATCGATTTTTTTTTTTCCTGCCCTGAGATCGAGTTGCCCCTGACCGAGGCGTGCCCTGTGTGCCGCCCTCCCCTGGCAAACTGTTGCGCCGCCCTTAGCCGCCCCCCCCCCCCCCCCCCCCCCCACCCCCCCCCCCCCCCCCCCCCACCCCCCCCCCCCCCCCCCCCTCTCTCACGGCACCTCGCGACCCGTCGCCGCCCCCTAGCGGCCCGTCGCGCTGCCCTGAAAGACCCATCGCGCCGCCCTCAGCGGCCCCTTGTGGCCCCACCTCCACGGCCCCGGCGCCGCCCTCTCGCGGCCCCGTCGCCTCCCTCTCGTGGCCCGTCGCCGCCGTTCGCGGCCCCGCCGCCGCCTTAGCGGCCACGTCGCCGCCCGTCGCGGCCCTGCAGCCGCTCCTCGCGGCCTCGTCGCCGCCCTCTCGCGGCCGCATCGCCGTTCTCTAGCGGCCCCAGTGCCGCCCTCTTGCGGCGTCGTCGCCGCCCTCTCGCGGCCCCGTTGCCGCCCTCTTGCGGCCTCGTTGCCGCCCTCTCACGGCCCCGTCGCCGCCCTCTTGCGGCCTCGTCGCCGCCCTGTCGCGGCCCCCTCGCCACCTTCTTGCGGCCCGTCGCCGCCCTCTTGCGGCCCCGTCGCCATCCCGGCCCCTTCACCGCCGAGCCGCCGAGCAGCTGAGCCTCCGAGCCGAGCCGAGCAGCCGAGCCGCCCGAGCCGCCCGAGCCGCTCGAGCCGCCTGAGCCGCTGAAGAGCCGCGCCGCTGGTGCCGCAGAGCCGCAGTTGCTACTGAGCCGTCCGAGTCGCCCGAGCCGCCGTGTTGCCGAGCTGCTGTGCTGTTGAGCTGCCCGAACCGCCCTGTCTGGTGAGAGCAGCGCTTCTGTCACTACACTGCCTTTGTCCTACAGTTAGTGCTGCTAGTCTACTGCTGTCATGGCTGCCCCCAGTGTTCTCGCTTTTGACGCTGAGGGTCGGGCCATTGACTTTGAGGTCTGGGTAGATGACCTGCAGCTTTTCATACAGTGCGATAGGGCAGACGGTCTCTCCCTCTTTGACCTCACCTCTGGCGCCTCCCCTACCCCTGCTGCTGACGCTGACGCCATTGTTCGCTCCCAGTGGGCCACGCGCAATGCTGCTGCACGTCTTGCTGTGCGTCGCCACCTGCCTACCTCCAAGCGCGCGCACTTTAGTCAGTACAAGAGTGCTCAGACCTTGTACGACGCTGTAGTTGCACGCTACTCCTCCCCTACCACTGCTGCACTGAGCCGTCTCATGCTTCCGTACCTCTTCCCTGACCTTATTGCCTTTCTCACAGTCGCTGACCTCATTACGCACCTCCGCACTAGTGACACTCGCTACCGCGCTGCGCTTCCTGCTAACTTCTGCGCCAAGAACACCCCCATGGTTACTGCGAACCGTTTCTGGTCTCAAATTTTTGGGGTTGCTTTCTCCAACAAACGATGGCTACA